GGCCCAGCCACTCTGTGGCATGTGGGATCTTCCCGGACCGGGGCACGAACCTGTGTCCCCTGCATCGGCAGGCGGACTCCCAACCACTGCGCCACCAGGGAAGCCCGAGACGTGGATAACTAATCTTTCGAAGTTTCAAAAACAAAAATGCAGCTCTTCTCTAAACTCTTTTTTAATGGATTTAACTTAAATGGACTATTGCTTAATAGAAATATTTACTATCCAGGAAACTTCTTTGGATTTTTTCCACTCAGGACTGAGTATGTTGGTAAGCCAAAGAAAATATGTATTGTCAAAAGATTAAGATCTGGCCTGATTAATAGGTAACATTTCACCATCTATATATTTCTTTTCTCTCCAACATGCATTTAGTTTATTCATCTCACTTATACAATCTGGTTTTTAAATTTTCATCTTTTCTCTTTAATATCATGAGACTTAAAGGTCAAACTGAAAAGAGCATATTGATTACTTTTGTATAAAAATCCTAAGAATGTACATGTATGAATGCCAAAATTGAAAATAATGACATCACTACATAATCTCAAGTGTGAAAAGAAAGTTAGTGAATGGATTAAGAAACTATACATAAAACATATGGTTTCTATTAGATTCAAACTTAGATTTAAAATATCCAGCCATATTTCCTCCTGAAAATACATATTTATTGAACATCTTTTTCCTGGTTCTATTGCCTTAAAAGTCCTTTCTCAAACAACTTTCAGGGTTTGAATAACCTATGATAGAAGATATCCTAGAAAATTGAGATTCAAAGCACCAAAATCGAAATCACAAAACAGGTAACTTTCATGCCTGTGAACAGAACAAGCTCTTGTTCTGTGCCTGAGGGAGCAGAGCACTTTGGGCAGGAAGCTTCAGTACCAGTACGGTCAGTAAGCACCTGTGCAGATCTCCTCCAGTCTTATAAATGTGCCGCACTCACCCCTTCCTCTGTGCCTCTGTTCCTGAGGTTCTTTTTCCTCACCCCGGAATATCATTCTTTCACCTGCTCTCCTATCGCAATTCCACCCAAACTTCAGCATTCAGCGCAAGACTTCTCCAGGGAGCTTTACATGGCTTCATTGTCTCCCTTTGCTTTAAAATGGCTTGTATTTCCAAGTCTAATCCACTCACAACTTAGCATTTAATTATTCCTGTGTTAATTTCCTGGTGTTTCTGACAGTATTTGAATATAATTCTATTTAATATTAATTCTTGATATATTCAGGCATCTTAGATTCTTCCTAGTGAAATTATCAGTTCCTTAAATATAGCTATGTTTTCATAATTTATATATTCTTCCATAACATTGAATACAGTGCTGAATTTATATTTCAAAAAATCACAAAGAACCTGTTGATGAATTTTGTCTGTAAATTCCATGGGAGAAGCGGACATGTTGATCTTTTCCCCCCAGCTTTATTGAGGTATACTTGACAAATAAAATTGCAATGACTGTGTTGATCTTACCCATCATTAAATGCCCAGTGCCCAGCACAGTTCTTACTGAATAGCAAGAAAC